CGGGTTTATAAGGTTATAGGGTTTATAAGGGTTTAGGGTGCAAGGTTTATAAGGTTTAGGGCTTCCTTCCCCAGACTCTAGACCCCGAAAAGCGCCTCCTCAAACGCAATGTCGGCTGGCGAGCGGCCTTTGGACCTTTTGCCCGGAAGCTGAAAACTCGGGACTCTTGGAGTTCTGTGGGGCTTAAGGCTTGGAGGTTCTATGGTAGGGTTTAGGTTTAGGGTTTATCGAGGTTGCTTAAGATGTCAACAGGGATTTTTTGAAGCGGCAAGCATCTAGGTGTAAACAGCCGCAGAAGGGTTGTAGGATATCATAGACGGGATGTGTCCCTTCTGATAGAGACTACACTACGACTTAGCTGAACTCCTTAGGTATGGCACCTGGTCGCCTACCCTAAAAAAGGAAAAACCCGAGGTTCCGCACATCGAATTTCGTCTCGGGGCTTCGCCCCTAAGGGGTTTTAGTGTCTAAGATACGGGTCGTCGCCACAAGAATAGGGCCTTGGAGAAATTCTGCCATATTTATATAGGGGCAAGGCAAAAGAGGGGGTTTCGGCGGTGCCGGGGCTTAGAATTTGGGCTGTCGAGATTGGATCTGCAGGGCTTAAGACTTACAGGCTGAAGCACTAAGGAACTTCATGAAACCAGAGCCGGTCCAAGCCGACTCTCAACCCATGGCTGTAAGATCAGAGATTTTGACTGGCTCCTGCGGGTTTACGGCTCGGGTCAAACAACTGAAACTCTCGTATGGTGCGTTCACTATAGAAGCCTGACGCATTTTTGATACGGTTCCTGAGGGTTCCTTCATGCAGTTCTAGAAAGAGCAGACGACCCTTCAACCAAACAGACGCCTCTTCTAATCATTAAGGAAATCAAGGGGGCCTTCTTGAAACTTGACAAAGTCATGGACCTCTTGTGGAAACTCCGCACTTCCTCGAGAGGCTGCAGGCCCATTCATAACACCTCCACACGAAAGTCCAACATCGCGATCCTGAACCTCAAGCCCTAGACCTGAATAACCGTGCGTGCTGTCTTTATCAAAGAGGTCTTGCTACTCGTGCCATGATCTTGGATCTTCCGGAATCTTAAAGCGTGAAACCGGCACCGTCTCTTCCCTCTCTCTTCTGGAGAATCGCGGATGTGATCCTGTGGTGCACTTCCCCAATGGCATCAGTTGGAAAACCACAAACATCGGCACCAGCACAAAAGCTCCGCACCCTGGTGCTAGGAGCTGCGTGAAGCAGGGCTACACGGCCACCAACAGAAAACGCCAACCAAAACAACATAACAAGATCCGTGTAGTTTCATGATATACCGTATCTCTCTCAAAACCGAAACCCTGTATGACATCCAAAACGCAGAACTGGACCTTGAAGTAACGGGAGAGAAAAACTGTATAGACTTTTATTTTATAATGGTTCCTTTAAGGAACAGGTCCAATAAAAAAGTATTCAAGTATGGACTCCAGAACCCAGAGAAAGGCATTTATGAGGCCAGGGAACGACCTCTGGTCTCGCTTGGCACCTGCCTTCAGGAGCAGGCGGACCATTTCTGCCTTTGCTTCGGTTTCGGGGCTTGACGTTGAGGGCTTATAAACCCTCGTAGCCGTTCCCTAACCCCCCAGGTACCTACCATATAGGGTACTAGAGCCCCTAGGGCCCTATATAGTAGGCACCTGGGAGGTTAGGGGTTACCGTTATGCTCAGTAGCCTTGACATCATGATCTGCACTGCTGCTCAACCCTGCTGCTGGCAACCAGCAGGGACAACCACAATGGGTCAAGCCACCAAGAATGAAAGCGAGCATCCCGAAACTTAAAGGGCGATGCCACGCGCAGGCTTGCCTTGCGAGTTCCCGTGACTCGCGGCTGGGGATCCATAGGCAGGGGGAAGGAGTGAACAAGTGTTCCTTTGTGGTCGCAGCAATGTGGTCCCACATTAATTGTTGTTCGCATGCGGGGCTTGAGCTGTCTAAGAGCTCCAATTGGTTGAAGAAGGTGCCGGACGGAAATAAGATGCCTGGAAGAGGAACCATAACTTATAACAAGCCGGAGCAAGCCAGGAGAACAGCGGAGTCCTATGCGGCATGTATGAAAGCTACATAGCTCAGAATCGTCAGGCGTCTCGCAGACGAAGATTCTATCTTCGCGGCACAAAGGGCCGTGAGTACATTCTCCAGGGTGTGCTTTGTCTTTAATAAGCTAAGGTCCAATATAAATAAATATAAAACATTTTTTTTTAAAAAATATATATATATATATGTATGTATGTATATATATATATATGTATGACACACCTCACTATCTGCACATGCAGTAGAAGCTCAGCCCAGCCGTTTGCCTTGATCTATATGCTACTTTCACGCAGATTCTTAAACAGCCAGTGGTGCAGTATGCAAAAAATGACAATAGCATGCATACTCAGGAACTCCAAAGGCAGCGCAACATGATCTAGTGTTTTCATTCAAAGGCCCCAAAACTCTAAACCTCTAAATTCCAAAAAGCCCCAAACCCTAAAACCCTGAAGCCCCTGACTCCACAAGCTTACCCATAGGCCCCTAAGTAGTTCTTTTTTGGGATTGTATCTAGAATCCTATAAGGTAATCCCAAAAAGGAACTACTTAGGGGCCTATGGGTATGTGCCCCATCCTACAGCCTCGAAGCCTTTCAAAGCGCAAACCGCCTCGACCGGCCGTCTGTTTCGACGGACTCAACTTGCATTTAGGGGATGAAGGTGGGTTGGAAGTGAAGCCCCTGTATTTTTGTAAGGGCCGTATAGATTTCATCTGGGATCTCGTGGATGTAGAGTTGTAGCGCATTCGGACTCAAGGGGTTGAGGCCTACGTCTAAACCCTAAACCCCTAAACCTCAGTTTAGGTCCATGAAGGTTGCTCTTCTGTCAGGGGGCATCGCCCAGCTTCGCCGCCACGTGGATGGGGTAGATGGCTTCTTTCAGAAACCTGGGAGAGGTGGCCCTAGGCTTTAGCACTCTAGGCTTCTATGATCGGGCTTCCTGAAAAGGGTCCTGTCGGGAATCCATAATGGGGCTCCCTTTTTGGTTCTTCTATAGGGGGGTACTTTTTTGTAGGGTTCTAGAACAGGTTCGACCTTGAGGGGCTTGCTATGAGGTTTAGGGTTTAGGGGTTTGTAAGAACCCCTTCAAGGTTCCAGTCAGAACTCCCTGAAAGGAACCCTTTTAAATCGAGGCCTTAAGAAGGGCACCCCTAGTAGTGAATCCTATAGTACCTTTAAGGGCTCGATAAAGACTTCCTTTCAGGACTCCGTGATGCCTCCTTCAAGACATCAAGGGCTCCTTTATTGGCTTCAGGGATTCGAGGGAAGGGCGTTAGAAGGTTTTTTGAACTAGGGTTCCCCCCAAGTAGTAGGGTTTATGAGGTTTAGGGCCTAGTATGAAACCCCATAATCACGAAATCGGATGGACAGCAGGAGTTTTCAGGACTCACACGGCTTAGGAGTATACCCTGAACCCAAATATACACTGGTCACAAAGCCCTACCTTAAACTACCAGAACTAGGATCCTTATAAATTCCATATTAGGGCTTATAAAAAGGAACCTACAAAAAAAGTAAAGTTATGACAGTTTAAGGCAGACCCTACTTCTCTACGGGAGTTCTCCAAAGCCCGACTCACTTCCCAATCCACACCCGGCAAGGCCGCACCCCGGAAAGGTTTAGGGTTTAGGGGATTAAGGCTTTAGGGGTTTAGGGTTCAAAGGTTTTAGGGGCTTAGGGTTTAGGGGTTTAGGGTATGGGTTGAGGATTTAGGAATCTAGACCTGATAAGCATGACCCTTACAATGATGCTTACTATAGGCAAGGAGTTTATCATCAAGGGTTCTCACCACAGAGACTCCGAAACAAAAGCAAACTCCGAACACAACACCCAAACACCCAAATCACCTATTCAGCACACCTTAAACATCAGTCCTTAAACCGTCAAACCCTGAATCCCGAACCCTATCCTAGACCCAAAAAAAGAGTTGAATCCTCAAACCTCGCAAGACTCCACAACCCTTAGAAAGCCCTCATACAACCCCTTCTGTTGGCCCATCCGAGGCTTTGAGGTCCAACACCACCGAGAGCAAAAAGAGGAGAAACTCAATCCTAAACCCCTGGCCCGAAAACCATATAAGACACCCACAAAGCACTTTCTCTGCCCCCCAACCCTCCTCCATCCAAGAAAAGGCCGAGGCCCTGAACCCGAAGAACCAAAGAAACGCAAACAAAACAACAAAAAAAAACTAAACCCTAAACCCTAAAACCTAAACCCAACAAGGCCTAACGCACAGCCCCAGCGCCAGGTGGCACGCAGCAGGCCGTCCTCGGCTCGGACACGTCGGGCCCGAAGTTGTGCCTTGGTCCAATCGCTTAGCGATTTGGAGTTTTGGGTTTTTCGGGTTTATAGGGTTTATAGGGTTTAAGGTTTAGGGGTTTAGGGTTTGTGGGTTTTTAGGGTTTAGGGCTTAGGATTTAGGAGTTTAGGGTTTAGGACTTTAGGGTTCAGGGTTTAAAGCTTTTAGAGGGCCCAGGGTCAAGGGTTCAGGAGTGGATTTGGGACTCGAGGGTTTACCCATAGGCCCCTAAGTAGTTCCTTTTTGGGATTATGTTTAGAATCCTATAAGGTAATCCCAAAAAGGAACTACTTTGGGGCCTATAGGCAGACCTTAGGGAACTTTTGGTCGAAAAACTTGCTACTGAGAATGGGTGCGTTGCAGGGTTCTGTCGGGAATTTTGATAGGGTCTTTCTCGGGAGGATTGCGGATTACTAGGAGGTGAAGTCGCCTTCCTTCGGGTGCTCGTTGCTGGTTTTTAAAGGCCTCTACTTCAGGTTGCAAGTGCCTTCGTTCAATGTTGATTTGGGCGGCAGCTTGTGAGAACACGTCTCCGGGATCCCGATCTAGAACAACTCCCAGACGCCCTCGCTTTTAAGGTTCGGAAAATCAGGGTCGGGGTGACAACGAGACCATGCCTACAACCCCACATTCAACCACTGCAAACGGAGATGGCAAACATCCGAAACCACACAAGGCCTGTGATGCCCAGGAATCTGCAAAGCATGTGAACTTGAAATTCTTTCCCCGAACTACCTGGCAATGTATAGCTGCGCAGCTCTCTCAGAAAGCGCGCAACCGTTGCGTCGGACTTCTGCTTGCGCATCTGACGTCTCTTCAGAGACTGCTCACTGTCAGCAGAGTACCTAGGAACAGCCGGAGATTCGGGACAAAGTGAGAGCTGCATGTATTGTGCGTGTGTGTATATATACACCTACCGACCTACCTACCTACAAACCTACCGACCTACCTAACTACCTACCTACCTGCCTACCTTCCGACCTACGAGTAGCTACCGACCTACCTGCCTACCTACCGACCTACGAGTAGCTACCTCCGGCGAGCAAGCTAGCTAGATACCAGTAGCTAGCTACATGCACACATGCACACACACATACATACATACATACATACATACATACATACATATTAACATACTAACATACTAACAAACTAACAAACTAATCAGTCATTCATTTCAGTCATACCTACCCACCTACCTACCTACCCACCTACCTACCTATCGATCTGTATATCTCTCTACCTATCTACCCATCTCTCTATCTGTCTGTCTGCCTACCTACCCACCTACCTACCTATCTACCTACCTATCTATCTGTGTATACTCAGAGAAATACATACATACCTACATACATACATGCACGCACCCATTTATACATTTCGTGTCAACGTGTCTGCTGGGAACTGCCGAGTTTCGAGTTTCAACTGCAGTAAAAAAAAAGGAAGCCCAGAAACCCAACCGAAAGCATCCGTACCCATCCGGTTTAGGGTTTTAGGTTGGGGTTTAGGACGATCCCCAGAAGCCCAGCGGCCTATATGGCAGATTACTGTCCCCGCACAGCCCACCACTTTGTTCAAGGCTTCTTCTGGACACAAAATGATGCTGTCCGGGCTGTGGCCATGGGTCTGGCGTTGATGTCGGGTGCCAACCGGTCCCTCATTAGAAGCTACATGAAGCTGCCATGAACTCTATATATATATATATATACATACATACACTATATAATATACTCTCTCTCTCTATCTATATATATATATATATGAATGATCAAGGCCGCCCCCGCCCCTTTCCCAATGGTGGGTACCCCCTCGCCCTCCCCTGTGGCGTGGTGTGGTTCCGGTTTGTGTCTGCTTGGGCTGCGGTGTAGTTCGGGGTATGTGTTTGCTTGGGGGTTGGTGTCATGGTCATCATATTTATATTTAACTATCATCATCCATCGGGCCTGTCAGGAACGATCCTCGTGACTGCTGAATGTTCAACACCCTCATGTCGGAGTCACAGTTGGAAAATGTCCAGTGTCACAAGGGGGTCGGCGAACCGAGAACCGCAATTATACATGAGCTCCGGCATGTGGGACTTTCAATCAAGCACGGGTGCTTGTTTCAAGGCACTAGTTACTAGTTACTAATCAGGGCTCAAAACTGCTCTCATCAGGGCTTTGTACCAGGGTCACTTGCTGTCTGTAATTGCCACATTCATCAGGCAGTCGTGAGCTCGGTGGGTTTCTCATTCAAACACAAATCCCTGAAAACCCTACACCCAACGATGAACCCTAAAACCCCTGTCATCAACTGCTGGCTGCAGATGTTGCGCAGGTGCATGCGGCTGGAACGGCTTGTAAGAGTTAGGGTTCAGGGATACTGCGCTTGCATGGAGCACACCTGCCAGTACAAGTTCCTGACCGAAGGAAACTCGACATTGGGATCGTCCCCATGCACCTATTCTACAAAGATGCAAGCTAGCTCCGCTGGTGGATCCGCTGTCGCTTCTCGCGGGCGACTGTGCAGCGAATGCCTCTCACAGTCACATGATTAGGAATCAAGCTTTCACCCATAGGCTCCTAAGTAGTTCCTTTTTGTGGTTCATATTTAGAATCCTATAAGGTAAGCCCAAAAAGGAACTGCTAAGGAGCCTCTGGGCATAGACATCGGGATCAATGTGTTGATGAATATGGTTCTTTGGGTGCTCGGGCTCAGTATGGGCGTCTTGTCAAGAGGCAGCAGACCTCTAGACCTCTGCACATGTTATTCTGCCTCATCCACATCCAAAGGGTCCTAGGTACCGTTATGCCGGATGTTTCCCAAGTAAGAATTTAAACCCTACATTCTACTAAACAAGTGCTTAATTATGGTCTTTTGGAACAGAAAGTAAGTGCAGATCGTCTGCTGATGCGACAATGCGTAACCCTAACGGCCCAAACTACCGGCCCGGAATTCCTACACCCTAAAGCCTAAACCTGGCCTCCCTTGTAGAAGAACCCTCATAGTATATCTCTTACTAAGGGAACCTTTTGTGCTGCTGAAACGGTCGAAGCTGGAGGCCTGGTTAAGGCTTTTCAAATTGGGGGTTTAGAGGCTTGGGGTTTAGGGTTTGGGGTTTTGGGTGTAGGTTGCAGGATTGAGGCGCCAAGTTCGTCCGTCGGTGCAAAGAAACTGGCAGAGAGGCCCTCGTTAACACGTCCAATACGCAAGACACTGCAAAACTCCAGGGTTTAAGGTTTAGGGTTTAAGGGCATGTTCATGAACCTAAATCTGACTAAACTCATCATAAAATAAACCGAAGAACACCAAAAGACTAACCGCGAAACCCCCTCAACCCTGAACCCTAAAACCCCTTTCAACCCTCAAACCCCCTAAACCCTCCTGCTTCTCACTAGACCTGCAAGCCCCGAACCCCTAAGTCCCCACAGGTCCCAAACTCCTACATCCTAAACTCAGGGTTTAGGGCAGTGTTCAGACTAAATTTTAGACCTCAAACCCTAATACCTCAGGGTTTAGGGCTCAGGTTGAGGACCAATACCTCAGCTCGTACAGAAACCTTAGACTCCTGAATTCCTCAGCCACAAGCCGTCATCTACGCCCTGCGATCTCTAACTTTAATTCCGGAGCCCGATTGTGGGTACTGTCCCACTATAGGCATAGCCTGGCATGGAAGCTCACTATTATAGACAACTGGGCTTCCAGTCTAAGGACTTGAACAAACCCGACACCCTAGAACCTGAAATCAGACAGTTCTAAACCCGAAGCCATACCCGTAGGCCCCTAACTGGTTCCTTTTTGTGGTTACTATTTCCTGTAAGGTAATCCCAAAAAGGAACTACTCCTATGGTTAAGCCCAAAACCCTGAAACTTCTGGACAAGGCAAGCCTCAGGTATCGGGCTGCGGTCATCCTTCACGAAGAAGGGCAGGTCGAAACAGTCCACGCAAACCTGGCGGGCTCCCCATGGCAAACCCTATAAAGCGTAAACCCCCAGATTGCAGAGACTTTGGGCACTTTAGGCTTTAGGGAGTCAGAAATTCGCAATATGGCTTTTTGTTGATTGGGGTTTAGGGTTTAGGGCCTGGTCTTTCAAGGGTGTTGGGGGGGGAGGCGTCGGAAACCCTGAAAACCTGAAGCTCAAGAACCTCTAAGGGGTTCCCTTAAGGGTTCCCTTAAAGGGTTCCCTTTTAGGGTTCCCTTTAAGGGTTCCCTTTTGGGGGTTCCTTTTAAGGGTTCCCTTAAGGGGGAACCTCGTCCGGCTTGCATGGGGCGCTGCAGTTGGGCGCCATGGCATCGACAGAACTCTCCTACAAAGTCCCTCTGAGCCTTGGTCCTCGGGTCGTAGGATTCGTGAGGTTCTGGGGTTTAGGGTTTGAGGGGGCCTTATTTCCGGATCCTACTATTCAATATCGGTGCTGGGATCTGGTTGTTCCTGAAACTTAAACCCATGAGCCCTGACTCATAAGACTTTTAGGTTTGAGATTGAGGGGCTTGAGAGTCAAGGGCGGGTCTGGAGATTACGGGATCGCGCAGAGACACTCAGGGAGAATGCAGTCTAGCGTTTGGGGTTAATAGGCTAAGGGTTCCAGGAAAATGGGGTCTGGAGTCGTAGGTCTACCATGGACAATGACCAAGATCTCAACCAACTGAACCCAAGATCCTAAACACGACCCTCTTTACCAAAAGGAAAGAGTGAGTTTGTTCTGTCTCTCTCTCTCTCTCTCTTACATATCATATGTTTACATGCATATATGCAGACACACATACATGCATACATGCATGCATGCATGCATGCATGCACACACACACATACATACCGTATACGTCGATCACCAGATCTTGCTCCGGAATCGATGCCAAACACTTGTCTGGAGCAGAATCCCACCTGGATCTGGCGACAGACGAGCCTCGGGGTGGTAGGGATGCAAGCTTGCATTGGGCTTCCTCTAAATTGTAGACCTTCGTCCCTAAATTCCGGGTCTGCATTTAGGCTCCCTATCTCCTGCGACTCCCACGATAACCTGCTGCGCATGTTTTTGTTACCTGCCAGGCCACACTACGGCTGACAATGATGTGATCTTGGGTGGATTATAGCAGCAGCAGCAGCAGCAGCAGCAGCAGCAGCAGTAGCGGTAGCGGTAGCAGTGGCAGTAGCAGTAGCAGTAACA